AATAACCAAAGTAATCGTTTAATCATAATCAACAAATTATTACAACTTTTGTCTAAATTACGAATGGTGTTTCCTTCTTCTTTTTTTTTTTTTTTCTTCTTTTTAAATATATTTGATTTCTCAAATCTACGTCGAACCAAGATCGAAAGGTATTATCGTTTATTTCTTTTTTTTTTTGTTTCCTACGAAGGATTTAGTATGGGAGACACATGCTGTATGTGAACGATCGACGCGATGATGAATGTCGACTAATAATAGGCTCTTCTCCTGTCGTTCTCATGGGAAGAGGGGGCAGGGGGGAAAGGGTAGAAGGGTGGATGGGTGGGTTGGTTTGAAGAGTAAGAGGAAAGGGTAGGCAGATTTTAGCCGACAAATCGATGAGAAGATGCTATCGTAAATCAACGTCCTTTTTTCGCCTATCATTCGTTCGTTCTAATTTTTCAAATAAACAAAAAGAAAGAAAAATAAAAGAATAAAAAAAATAAAAACGGGTACAACAAACGGACGAGAGTTAGATTGTACGAATAAAACGTTTTTATTTTTTATACAAATTTTTGTACACCAAATGATGTAAAACTTTTGTGTACAACGTATACATTTGTATTTTAAATTGTTGCTTTTATTATTTTGTTTTTATAATATAAATTTGATTAGATTCGTATATGATAAACGATTGATTTAATTTTTACAGTTTAAAATTAATACGCAATATAATATTGATTTTAGTATTGATTTAGAAAAATTTTCAATAAATGTTTCTAACAGAATTTAAATTGTATAATATTAATTTCCAAATATAAAATGTATAAAATATTGATAATATTGATTTAAAAAAATATTCAACAAATGTTTCGAACACAATTTAAATTGTATAATATTAATTTCCAAATATAAAATATATAAAATATTGATAATATTGATTTAAAAAAATATTCAACAAAGTTTCTAATACCGTTTATGCAATCATTAAACCTTCCTTCCAAAAAATAAAAAAAGAATTGAAAACAATTTAACATTAGTGTTATCGCCCAATTATTTTCACATATCTAAAAAGAAATATAATAATGTATGCGTGATAATTAATATTATAATATACTTGCACAATAATTAACACAATATACCTCGTAGTTTAATCACATAAATACTATAGCATTAAAAATACACATAAACAAAAGAAAGATGTGCAAAAAATTGTCACAAACTTTTAAACATAATATATCATAATAATGTTTAAAGTAAAATTAAAGATTTATTAATTATTGCAAGAGTATAATAATACTAATTATACTTTTGTAAATACAATATATATTATACCATAATTTACTCACATAAATACTATCATTAAAAATACAAGTGCGAACAAAAAGAAACGAGTAAAGGTGTGATCAAATTTGTTAAAATTTTTATGTCAGTATCATAATAAAGTTTATAATAAAATTCTAATAAACTGTTTGGTACGGGTTATTCCCCCCGTTTTCAAGTCAAAGAGTTAGAGTTTGTACGCGTTTGTTCCGAGTCAAGAGTTGCGATTGAATTTCAATTTGTGCGTGCTTCAAATTTTAAGTAGAAACGGTAAAGAAACTTTGTGCTACGAACTTCTTCTTCTTCTTCTTCTACTTCTACTTCTTCTTCAAGACGACAACACAACTATTACTACTATTATTACTACTATTACTACTACGAATAAGAAGAAGACATAGTCGTATAATGTCACTTTCATTTAGAAATTGCTTCACACGCAGAAAATGAACTCTAGATTCCAATTGAAAGTTGATATGCACATATATATATACACACACACACACACATATACACGTAAACGTAAACGTATACAGGCACATACGCACGTATTTTTGCTTACTGTACTATTTGTAACTAAAACTTATGTTAAAAACATTTGTACTGTAAAAATCTTTAGATATTTCTTTTTAACTTTACAATTACAATCAATAATAACTTTTAAAATTGATTTTAATTATCGATATAAAATGAATGAAAAAAAGAAGCGTGGTGTTGTTCGTTGAATTAAATCGTGCATGTAAAAATTCTGCTTGTATTTTTTGTGTACGGGGTTTTTTATTTTAATAGGAGAATGTGAGATTAAAAATTAATATATAATAAAAAATGTAAATACTGTTCCTTTTCTTTTGTTTTTATATTTTTATTTTTGATTGATAACAATTACGAGATAATATTATTCAATTTAATTGTTTACGATTGTAATTATTAATAATAATATCATAGGAAAGAGATGAATTATTGTAAATTACAAAAAAAAAAAAAAACAAATAATACGACAATATATATTTTTATTATTATTATTATTATTTAAAAATTAAATGAATATAATTATATATTAATAAAGTAATAATTTGTAAAAATTTGTTTGATTGTTTTAGTTATTACGAAATAGTAAGGGACGTTAGGCCGAACAAGGGAACGATATTAAAATCTTCCGTGGAATATATTAAATTATTGAAAAACGAATTGACGAGAATGAAACAAAACGAATTGAGGCATAAACAATTGGAACATCAAAATCGTCGTTTATTGTTACGCGTTCAAGAATTGGAATTACAAGCCAAGGCACACGGATTACCGGTTTCCGATTTCAATTGGGCATCTACATCTGGCAGCATACTCAACAACACCTTTCCGAGGAGTAAGCTCGAGCAACGAAAGGTACACGTGAGTGGAACCCTTTCTTTGTTAATACAAAATTATATATACATGTGTTTTTTTTTTTTTTTCATTATAATTAATTATTTCATTTCAATGATTGCAAGTAACAAACGATCTGAAATAAACGTTTTAAACGTATTGTATCGTTCAATACAATATTAATCAATTTAAAATTTCATTATGATTTAATAATTTTATTCATTGGGTTCGTTTAATATATACCTTTTATCACTTATATATTTATATTTTATTTTATTTTATTTATAGAATATTTTCTTATTTTTTAACTGATAAATTTCTAACATCCTTTATATGTTGTATATAAATTTATTCTATAATCATTGGAAAAGTAATGTTATTATAATTAGAAATTGATTCAACAATTCTTATTTTTTAACTGATAAATTTCTAACATCCTTTATATGTTGTATATAAATTTATTCTATAATCATTGGAAAAGTAATGTTATTAATTAGAAATTGATTAAACAATTAATTAATATATTAATATATTATTAATTTAAAAATACACGCTCGTTACGAAATATTAGATATTCATTTTTTTTAAAATATCGTTTAATAATTAATGTTGATCAGAGAGAGTATTAAGAAATAAATAATTTGTCTCCTACAAAAATGTGCAAATTACAAAACCAACAAACAAAAAAACAAAAGAAATATATATTTTTCTTTTTTAAATGAATGTTGTAATATTAATATTTCTTATCGCGATAATTATTGTCTGACAGTCAGGAAACTGTGTATAAAAAAAAGGAGGAACGTTTATTATTCATTTTTAACAGCTGAAAGTACAAAAACGAATTCTGACAGTTTGAATATTAAACACACACACACACCGGAATATAAATAGATAATATTTGAACGTAACTATCTCGATTCTATGGATCCTTGATCCGAATAAAAACGTCTGTCATTGTTAATCAATTCGATTTCATAATTTCCATCTGGTTCTTACTTACGTGATCTAAATAAATAATATTATTCAACATCTAAAACACACACACACACTGTTCCTTCGTTAGCTTCGTTTAAAGTGAATTTTAGTAGTTTCTTTTTCTTTTTTATTTTTTTTTAACTTACGTAGCAGACGTAACTTTCCTACTCAAGTATACACAAGTTATACCGTGGTTAGTTTTATACTTTCAACATCCGAAAAAAAAAGTGTCAAAGTGTTTTTGTCAACGCGACAAAATAAAGAGGAGTTTGTGCGTTCGAACGAAATATTAAAATAAAAATAAAACTATAAAGTAGAGAGAGAGAGAAAGTTTATGGAAATTAATTTAATTCGTGTATAAATAAATGTCAAAATTATTTCATTATTATTATTATTATTTTATGGATTATATAATATTGATTGATACACGTATATCTTTTTATTTGCATATTCAATTTATATCAGAGATATATTCAAATTTATTAAATTCTTATATTAATAATTGTAATTAATATTTTTTAAAAAAATAATACAATATGAAGAAAAAATATATATATATGATTTCTAATTATTAAATTAGTAACCAAACTAATGAATAATCTATACACAAAGTTTATTTTCTATTCTTTTTTTTTCTTCGCGATTATCTTTAAAAAATATTTCGATATAAAATATTTGAAAAAAGATATTTTAAATAGTAAATATTTTGTCAATAAAGTTTTCACAACGTTTATCAGGTAATACATCGTACACGCCCACGTAGAGATAAATACAAATCTATATTTGTATGTTTCTTTAATTATTCGTATATCATAGAATATTATTCGTATTATAATAAAATTGATTGATTGAAAAAAGAAAAAAGATTAAATATTCAAATTGAAATGGTATAGATCTAATTTGTAATTATATTCTTAATCAACAATTCGATTTTTGTTTAATATGTTTCTTATAATCAACATATATATATATCATATTACGTAAGATAAATGAATTAATCAATTATTTTTTTAGATATTAGATAACAAATAAATAATTTGATTTTCTTAACAAACAAACCAAAAAAACAATAAACAATTACTTTCATAATTAAATATTACCAATTATCTTCTATACATTTTCAATAGAATATTAAGGGGTTACATGGGTTTGGGACTTTCAAAAAAATTTTTTTTTTTTATCTTTTTGAATTCTACAACTCATCTAGAATATTGTATTCAATTTTGAAGTCGATAGGAGTAGTAGTTTAAAAGATAGAGCCTTGAGAAGCACTCAAAT